CAACTTCTGGCCCCTGTGATCAGGTATTCCAGCCCAGGATGATTGGACCACATTCCACAGTTCTTCTCTATTTCTTGGTTTTGCCTCAGAAACTGCATTTTTGATGTCACCCCACAAGTTTTCTATTGGATGAAGATCCGGGGATTGGGCTGGCCACTCCATAACGTCCATCTTGTTGGTCTGGAACCAAGATGTTGCACGTTTACTGGTGTGTTTGGGGTCGTTGTCTTGTTGGAACACCCATTTCAAGGGCATTTCCTCTTCAGCATAAGGCAGCATGACCTCTTCAAGTATTCTGATGGATTCAAACTGATCCATGATCCCTGGTATGCGATAAATAGGTCCAACACCGTAGTATGAGAAACATCCCCATATCATGATGCTTGCACCACCATGCTTCACTGTTTTCACAGTGTACTGTGGCTTGAATTCAGTGTTTGGGGGTCGTCTGACAAACTGTCTCCGCCCACTAGACCCAAAAAGAACAATCTTACTTTCATCAGTCCACAAAATGTTGCACCATTTCTCTTTAGGCCGGTCAATGTGCTCTTTGGCAAATTGTAACCTCTTCAGCACACGTCTTTTTCCCAACAGTGGGACTTTGCGGGGACTTCTTGCAGATAGCTTGGCTTCACATCGGCGTCTTCTAATGGTAACAGTCCTCACAGGGAACGTCACACCTTCTTTCATCTTCCTGGAGCTGATTGTTGGCTGAGTCCACGCCATTTTGGCTATTCTTCTATCCATTCCAATGGCAGTTTTTCGCTTTCTTCCACGTCTTTCAGGTTTTGGTTGCCATTTTAAAGCATTTGCCATCATTTTAGCTGAGCAGCCGATCATTTTCTGCACTTCTTTATATGTTTTCCCCTCTCCAATCAACTTTTTAATCAAGGTACGCTGTTCTTCTGAACAATGTCTGGAACGACCCATTTTCCTCAGAATTTCAGAGAGAAATGCACTGTAACCAGCATGTCCACCATTTGCTGCCTTCCTTCCTTAAATAAGGGCAATAATTGCCACCTGTTTTTCAAAGAATGAATGACCTCACTAATAGAACTCCACACTGCTATTATTTTGAACACGCCCCTTTCAATGAGTGATTCAATGACACAGAATCAGCAGCATGCATGTCATGACTGTTGGGTCTGTTGGATTTCTATTACTCTACTACACCTGCTAGGAAATTATTTGCCATGTCGAAATATAATTTCTACCAAAAACAGTGATTGATCTGGTTAGTGATGTCTGACTGCTATTATTTTGAACACAACTGTATATATATATATATTTGCATACAGCGTTGTACCTATATAATTAGTGATCTCTATTGCCCCTTGGCCTCCCCAGCAGTCTGTGGACCTGAGCTCATTGGTGGTCTCTCTGTGTGGAGATCAGGGAGCAGCGGCATACCTCCACCTTTGTTTTTAACTTAGGCAGCTGGGCATGCTGAAATGTCTATCACCGCTCGGTCAGTAACATATGGCATTTTTTTTCGTACATTATAACCCTATTTTTCTATGATGTTTTTGATGTCTAATGGTGTCTTTACATTTAGAACACCCTTATGCCAATATATGAGTATCCCTGAAGAAGAGGTATAAAACCCTATTCTCGAAACGCGTCAGCCATCTGTGACGAACCATCCCTTTGTGATAACATTTTGCCCTTTCTGTGCCGGTTTTATCCCCATGTTAAGTGGTCTTCCCGTTCTACCCTTTTTAAATATGTATATGTTTAGCAGCTGTTATGTAGACAGGCATTCTACACTGTTTGTTTAGGGGAATGTGAACTTGTAGTCTTTCACTTCTCGAGATTTCATACTGTGCTGATTGCTGTAGAGTTTTGTTGTGGGTGGGGGAAACCAGGTGCCAGACTATCTGGTGGGGGTGAAGGGGGCAGGGATTACTGCCAATATGTGCTGTATAAACTGTGTTGTGTTCAATAAAGCATTCATTCATTCACCCTACACGAAGTTCCGACTCGTGGTTTGGGATATCGGGGAAGGATTGTCTTTGAGCTCTAATACCCGCCTTGGTAGAGCTCTGGAAGACTTGCCGGAAAAGGGGACCATTGGCTGAGACGCATCGCTCCGCACGAGGGAGCCCAGGCAGAATGGAAGCCAAAACATCTCTCTATTTATTTATGGTCAAGGATATCATCTGTGATTATTTCTGTGTAATCCATGCATATTTGTTGTAGCCTCATTTATACTTTTATTGTCTTTTTTTTTTAATGGTTTTGTCATAAAGTTATTGTATCTTTTACATTATTGTTGTGTCTATAATAGTCCCTTTCAGTTACAGGGTATTTTTTCACTGCAAATTTTTGTGATGATTGCACCCCTATAGTACTCTAACATATCTGTACATTTAGATACATCACATGAGACCAAGTTTTCTCAATGACCTTGTTTACATACATAGACCAGCCTGTCTTGGCTCCCTGGGGTGCCTTTTGGGTTCTTCAAGGGTGCCCTGGCAAAATGCCTAAACATTTTTGAGGTGCAGTGGAACATTTGGAAATTATGTCATTTTGGTCAATGAATCCTAGATCTTATGGAATTCAGGACATGTTAAGTTTCTCCCATTGGTATATCTGTTTTAAATCTAATTAACCACTTCCCGACCGGCTGTTGCATATAAAAACGGCCGGACGGTGGCACTGCAGGGTCGGGTGGCCGTTTATAAACGGCCTCCCCGCACCCTGTTTGTGCGTGCTCCCTCGGAGTGCGCAGCACCACGAAACGGTGCCCGCTGTGTCCTCCGGACACAGTGAAACACCGATCGTCGGACGGGACCTCTGTACGAGGTCCCGATCATGTGATCACTGATTGGCCAATCAGTGATCACATGCAAAGTAGTAAGCAAGATGTCACTTGTGACATCATTGCTTACTACGTGTGAAATCTGTGAATGATCACAGAGGTCACATGGTACAAGGCTATTCACAACAGCCTTGTACCATGTGACAAGTTGTGACCAATCACAGCTCACTCAGTACTTCTCAATGAGTGCAAGAATGCAGCTAGAGAAAAGGAGAAATGATTGCTTTTACATCCTATATGGGTGTAAAAGCAATGTGTAAAAAAAAAATCTTCATCACCCCCCACAAGTAGTACAGTGTCACCATGGTGACACTGTACTGCTAGGGTGACAGTATGTAAAAAAAATAAAAAATAATAATATATAAAAAAAAAAAAAAATGTAAAAAAAAAATGTTTAAAAATTATACATTTTTGGTTATACACTAATTTGGATTTTTTTTTTTTTTTACTAAAAAGATAACGGAATACATTTTAGCCAAGATTTATGATGAAATATTATTTATTTGCAAAATTTTATTAAAAAAATACTTTTTTTCTAAATTTTTGGACTTTTTCATTTACATAGCAAAAAAATAAAAATCCCAGCGGTGAATAAATACCACCAAAATAAAGCTTTATCTGTCTCAAAAAAATGGTAAAAAATTCATTTGGGTACAGTGTTGCATGACCGCGCAATTGTCATTCAAAGTGTGATAGCGATAAAAGCTAAAAATTGTCCTGGTCAGGAAGGGGGTAAAAGTGTTCGGACTGGAAGGGGGTGAAAGTGTCCGGACTGGAAGGGGGTAAAAGTGTCCGGACTGGAAGGGGGTAAAAGTGTCCGGACTGGAAGGGGGTAAAAGTGTCCGGACTGGAAGGGGGTGAAAGTGTCCAGACTGGAAGGGGGGGAAGTGTCCGGACTGGGGGGGGGGGAAAGTGTCCGGACTGGAAGGGGGGAAAGTGTCCGGACTGGAAGGGGGTGAAAGTGTCCGGACTGGAAGGGGGGAAAGTGTCCGGACTGGAAGGGGGGGAAAGTGTCTGGACTGGAAGGGGGTGAAAGTGTCTGGACTGGAAGGGGGTGAAAGTGTCCGGACTGGAAGGGGGGAAGTGTCCGGACTGGAAGGGGGGGAAAGTGTCCAGACTGGAAGGGGGTGAAAGTGTCCGGACTGTAAGGGGGTGAAAGTGTCCGGACTGGAAGGGGGTGAAAGTGTCCAGACTGGAAGGGGGTGAAAGTGTCCGGACTGGAAGTGGTTAAGCAGTTGGAGAGAATTGTTGGGATGTATTTTCCTGATATTTTTTAGAATTGCTCATCTCTGTATTGATATAAACACATTTTTTGTTGAAGTCATTGTCTATCCATGGCAAACTCTTCTGGCAAATGTTCAACTTTCGCAATGCTACATGTATATGTAAAATGTTATTTTTACCGTGACTTGATACATAATTTTTGTGCATTTTTTGTAAAACTCCAATAAAGAAATTTTTGGAGAAAATGCCTAAACATTGCCCCAAATTGCCCAAAAATTGTCAACAAGCCATCGGGTAGCTCCAGCCTGCCTTTTTTTTTTTGGTTACACAAAGCCATAGGTTTTTATTGTGAGGTATTACAACCTTGAGCACGGGACAGCCACCAGCTAACAACCAACGCCATCATAGATTGATAAGGAGGAAGTCTGGCGCCTGAGGACATCTTTGTTTTCCATTCTCTGCCAGCACTGGGGTTACATGAGATGAATGAGGAAAAGAAACTGAGGGAGAAGAGAAACGCTAGAATACTAGTCAGTACTAATGTACAAAGGTATATTTTTTTGTAAAAATATTCAATTTTTTTTCCCCCCATGTTTTTTTTTGGACAGTAATTGATAGTTTGTCCATTGGGCAGTAGTTGATAGATATTTTTTTAATTTTTGATGTCTTTATTGTAAAGGACTAACTACTATAAGCTTGCATGGACAGTTCCTTTGAACACATGATGTAGGGTCAATAGATTCCAAATGCAAATATCACACTTAGAATCAACTCCAAAACCTTTTACCTGCTTAATTGGTGAAGAAATAACAAAGGAGTAGCCCATACCTGGCTATGAAACATCTTTTGATTCAACTGTCCAATTACTTTTGGTCCCTTGAAAAAGGAGGATGGCTACTCTTTAAGAGCTGTAATTCCTAAACCCTTCCTCCAATTTGGATGTACATACCCTCTCCATTTTGGAAACTCGGGCACTGCCCGAGGGCCTGGGGTCAGTAGGGGCCCTATGAGATTCCCCTGGTACCTTTTTCATAGGTTTTTTTTTGAGTTTGGGCAAGGACACAGGGGCCCCATGATCCCCTATTGCCTGGGGGCCCCATGAGTTGTCAGTCCGCCCCTCCCTCAAATCAAATTTACATTTTTCATATGTTGATTGTGTTTTGTCTCCATTGCAGAGGACTAACTACTATATGTTCCGTTTTGATAAATCAACATCAGAGGTCCTGAGGAAGAGGTGGCAACAGTGAAACGCGTAGACCAACTTAGGTTATGCCATGTCCTGGACGCTTGAATTGTTTTTAATATGGCATCTATGCATGATTTTTAAAGGTTTTGCTTAATAAAAAGGAATTATGTTTTGAATTATTTTTGCTTTATTATGTATGGTTCTCTGGTGAATTATGAGGTGTGACAATTTAATTCTCACAATAGACTGAATTGGAAAAATAAAATGTTTGCTTACACTAGCGACTGTTGTCACCATCATAGTAGTCCCCTTGTGAAGCGATGCACTTTTCTAGATGACTGTGCCACTGCTGGAAACATTCCTGGAATTTGTTTTCTGTAACGCTGCACAGTATCTTTGTTGTGGTGTACTGGATGTTTGGAAGGTCACCAAATCTGTGTCCTTTTAACGCATTTTTTTATTTTGTAAACAGTCTTAGGGTGCTAAGTGGTTGATCAAGTTTCGGAAAAGATCTCTGGACTAGGAACTCATGAACACCTATTGCATCATGTGCAGGAGCATTGTCGTGGTGAAGAATCTACTTGTCCTCCAAACAGATTCCCCTAATTTTTTCATTTTCCACACTTGCATCCGTCCTTTGCATTTTTGGTTGCCCACTTCCTGCATCATTCTGGACATCTTCCTTCCCCACCTTAAACCGCCTATTCCATTCAAAAACACCTAATTTCTTGTTTTATTTACTTACATAACGCCATCAATTTGCACAGCGCTTTATATATATATTGTACATTCCCATCATTTCTTCAATTTAATGTTCACCCTAAGTCTATTGTAGCAGAGCTAAAAAAAGTTTCAATCACACTTTTTACCAATTTTCATGCAAAATTTGATGTTAATCCGCTGGTCCAGGATCCTGTCACTCATTTTCTGCCAACAGCGCAATGCACGCATGTGTTATTTCTCTACTACTCCGTAAAACTGAGTCCATTGGGTTGCAACCCAGGAGGGCGCAAGTTAGAACACGCTCGAATGTGAATGGCTGTGACTCACCACCAATAAGGCTAGGCTGCGGGCATTCCGGGAATTAAATTGTCACTAGTACAACTAAAAGTCTCCTTTACTTAAAGCGGAGTTCCACCTGAAAAAATAAAAGTCAGCAGCTACAAAAACTGTAGCTGCTGACTTTTAAAATACAGACACTTACCTGTCCCTCGGTCCTGCGGTGTCCTCACCACTTTAGAATGGGGTCCCTCAAGATTGTGCATAATTTTAAAGGATGCCTTGACTAAAAAAAGTTGAGAAACACAGGACACAAATACCTTTTTTTTTACAGGTATGTGGTAAATTGATAGTTTGTACATTGGTAAATAGTTGATAAATATTTAAAAATTTTTCATATGTTGATTAATGTTTTGTCTCCGTTGTAGAGAACTAACTACTATACGTTCCGTTTTGCTAAATCAACATCAGAGGTCCTGAGGAAGAGGTGGAAACAGTGAAACGCGTAGACCAACTTAGGTTATGCCATGGCCTGGACACTTGAATTGTTTTTAACGTCTTCACGCCGGCCGCACACAAATGTGCGGCCTCCCGGCGTCTGTGCCTAGACGCCGAGCGGCAAGACTTTTGGGTTCTATTAAAAAAGGACATATGTGTCCCGAGAGCGCGCGCTCCCAGCACACATGTCCGGTACTCACGGAAAGGTCCCGATCTCCTCTTTCGATCGGGACCTTTCCCGATCATGTGACCACCGTGACGGCACGACACGGCGGTCACATGACCCTAAACCCCCCCGCCTCCTGGCTTCTGAAACCCTTAAAGGGCCGAGAGGCGCCATCGTGAAGGGGTTAATATGGTATCTCCTCTCCCCGGCGGCGGCATCATAAGTGTGGGCACCCGGCTATGACAACTTGCGGCTTCACAGCCCACTGCGCATGCACGAGAAGCGCTGCGCTTTGCGAATGGCCCCGTAGTCTTCTGGGACCTGTCAAGGAAGGGGAGGACGACTTCCGCTTCCGATCGCCTAGGTGATCGCAGAGGAAGTGGGAGCGGGTACCTGTCAAATTTGGGTTCCCGCTTCCCAAAAGTACCAATCCTTAATGGGGAGCGGGTGGACAAAGGCTTAAAGCGGAACTTCCTCTTTTGGGTGGAGCTCCACTGTGAAAATCACCTGTAATACTGGGTACCCTATGTGTATGGATGCTGCTATATTATGTAAAACTATTCATTTCAGTGTTTTACATTTTAGAATGGGGTGCCTGGAGAAGTGCAGAATGTTGAAGGGGTACTTTGGGTAGAAAAAAAAAACAAAGGTTGTGAAACGCACACACAGACCTATCCTGCCCTCATCTAATAATGGAATCTTCTACTCCTCCAGTCCATCCCCCACAGTTTTTACCTTTTGTGCCACTAGCCCCTCCCTCCTAGATTGTAAGCTCCAAGGAGCAGGGCCCTCCTAACCCTCTTGTATTGAACTGTATTGTTGCTGTATTGTCTCCCGCAGGGGCGGACTGACCATTTGGAAACTCGGGCACTGCCCGAGGGCCCGGGGGTCAGTAGGGGGCCCCATGAGATGCCCCTGGTACCTTTTTCATAGGCTTCTTTGAGTTTGGGCAAGGATACAGGGGCCCCATGATCCCCTATTGCCCGGGGGCCCCATGAGTTGTCAGTCCGCCCCTGGTCTCCCGTTATATTGTAAAGCGCTGAGCAAACTGTTGGCGCCATATAAATCCTGTATAAGAAGAATAATAAAAAAAAAAAACCTTTAAAGCAGTCTATAAACTTACAGTGCTGCCTCCATGTTAACCCAGCAAGTACACCGAAATGTCACCCTCCATCTCTTCTAAACATTATTCCACTGAATACCATTATGCCCACATGGAGATCCTGCTCTCTACACAACCCCAGCAGGCAGGCCTGAGCCCCAATTAATATTCTCCAGCCTTGTCGCCGGAGCCTGATACAACAGCTAGGATCAGTCTGCAGGGGACTCTGGAAAAGATGGGACCGGAGGAGGGTAGGGGAGGGGTGGGGGGGTGATATGAGAGCAGAGGCCAAGCCATGTTAAACAGCTCCAAGCCTTGCCAATGAACTCTCTCAGAGGGTGTCGTCCATTGTGCTTCATTAGGAAACAAAATATAAGCTTTCCACTCCATTAGGAATGACTTTAGGAGCGAAAGCACATAAGTCTGAGACTCACCTCATCAACAATGCATTGCAATATCTGGAACGGCTGCGGAGAGAGAGAGAGACAAGTATTAACCTATATGCAATATCTCTACAGTAGAGTCATAAGAGACACAAAAAAACACCATTAATGCAATAAAAATAGCAAGATTAATCAACAGCAGAGAGCTCTTATAAAAACATTGATGTTGGAGCATCGCTATTATTTCTAATGGTACCTAATCTAATACAGGCAGTTAAATGTTTGTTTTTTCTTCAAAATGCAATTTGCAAAGTTTAAAACAAGGCAGTGGAGCATGCAGGAAGAATCAGCCATCAGGAAAAAAGAGAAAAGTGAATTTTTTCCACCCCCCCCTTCGCAGTTTGCTCCGCCGGCGCTCCCCCTGCTCGGACTCATAACACTTACCATTAAAGACCCATGGTTTTTCGGAATCTTGGGAGGAAAGTGGATAAAAAAAAAAAAAAAATGTATATTAAATAAAATATACAATAAATAACACACAAAGAAGAATAAAAGAATAAAAAAAAAAAAGGAGGGGAAAACATATATAAAAAACGGAGAGCGGAAAGGAAAAAAGGCAATATGTAATTAGCATGTCATAATCAAAACATCTCACTAGGACACATTATGATCACTGGGAGAAAATGATTGTCTTGCTGGTGGCAATTTGTGGGCATGTGTTAACACAATTTACATAATGAAAATACACAAGTGTTAATAGCTCTTCTCTCATTTATGGGTGAAAGTCGGCAGAATGCTAATTTACCACAAACACTTTTTAGTATCCTCCAGGTTATATTAGAAAGAGGGAGGGAAAAAAAAAACAAAAAAAAAAAAAAACAAAAAAAAAAAAAAACCCACAAAACATAATCCATTTCGGAGGCAGAGCTGTTTCCGCTCCGTGTATAAATAATGTTTTATGCGGCTCCATCGTGAGCGCAGAGCTTAATGTGGCAATCATCGCTAATGTGAGGAAACTGGCTCTTTTTAAATTAAAAAACGATTTATTTAAAATTGAAATTAAATCATCGTCAGAAATTAGAATTTCTGGCCGCCTGCCAGGGCTGGCCTGGCGTGTCACCCCTGCCTAATTTCTGGCTGGGAGACACAAACTTTAATTATATCTCTGTAATGGGACGGGGATCTGGTGTGTGTGTGTATGTGTTGGGGGGGGGGGGGGGGGGGGAGGCCGAAAGCTGCCAGAGGAAAAGGCTTTTCTACAAAAGGACTGTTGGTAAAAATCAACCGAACTCGAGTGGGTGATCTGCCCTCATTAGTGGAGGTGGCACTTTTAATATTTACAGTTCAGCTACGCCAACTGGAAATTTTTTTTTTTCTATTTGTAGTGTTTTTTTTTTTTGCTATTTGGTCAACAGCAAAAATAAATGATATAAAAAGTTTACCAAAAGCCACTGGAGCTTAAAGGGTTCTATTATTTATATTGAAGAGTAATTAATAGCATGTTTCTGTTCTCATACTATATCACAGCTGTTTTCAGAGTCGTTTATAATTTGAAGCAATCTAATTCAGCTGATCGACTGTTCTCCAGCTGTTGGCCAAAGCAGAATTAGAAAGGTATCATTGATGTCTACTCTACTGAGATACCTATGGCAAATGTAGAGGATGCAATAGGAAGAAGGGTCACACCGGAGGATAGATTGGATTGGTTATATCCTGCCTCGATTACTGCAACTCCCTCCTCACTGGTCTACCATTACACAGGCTATCCCCCCTTCAGTCTATTATGAATGCTGCTGCTAGACTCATACACCTTACCAACCGATCAGCGACTGCCGCTAGACTCATACACTTTACCAACCGATCAGCGACTGCCGCTAGACTCATACACTTTACCAACCGATCAGCGACTGCCGC